CTATTGCGGCTTATGCCTAATAATTGTGATGGGAATCTGCTTTGAGGCTGTCCTGTGTCGACAGAAATTACTTTGAGGAATGGCTTCAGCCACTTGAATTCCAACGTTCCCTTTACGAAGTGTGAACCCCGCGGTAATCACACAGAAGCTATGCGCGTCTAACAAGATCCGCTAAGCTACAGTTCATCTGGTCTCTCTGAGCCAGCTTCAGTGCCTTGATTTTCTTGCTGATTGCGCTTCTGACTGTTGAGATTTTCAGCCTCCACTCTTTTTCAGAGACCATTGTGAGATCGGAACCAACTTACTCTCTTCGTCTGTACATGTACCACATAAGTGAAACGCTAATGATAGCAAGGCCTCCGAAAAGTATGAGGATTTGATAGCCATACTTGTACTTCGGCGCATCATAGGTAGGAAATAGAACCACTAGGAATTTGTTAGCACAAAAGACTTGAGTGGTAAATTCCGGATAGCGGCTTCAACTCACAGGGTACCCAAAGAACCCAAGCGTAGGAAACAACATTTGCGGTGGCCACAAGCAGTTGTCTGAGACTCGGATCTCCCGCGTTAAGTCGATTGGCCCAGCTCTTTACTTTGTGTCAGAGTCTGTCGTTCAAGTGGTTTCTGTGGGGTACTCACGATGAGGACTGGAGTTGCCGCGGATCCAGCATACGAAAGGTAGTACGCAAACATCAAGGCCCCCTTGGGGATATACCACACAGAAAGCAAGATGTTGGACAGTATCATCAGGGCTTGAACAATGACAATCATTGTATAGTTCTGTCCGGTTCGGTCTGCGATTATACCCCAGATGACTGTGGCAACGATGTTCAAAGCACTGCCGCCAGTAGGGTAGATGTTTGCATCCACAACGCTGTAGCCAGCAGACTTCAGCCAGAGGTTGAAATAGCTGGTGGCTGTGTGACACGCCGCGACCATACTGCCAAGTTATGTGAGTAGGATGCGACGCAGTTGTACTTCATCGGGAGTATAACTTACGTGTACGGTACAACAAATACCCAGATCTCCCAACCGAGGTAGATGCGTTTTGCTTCCTTCCATGTCAACTTTTGCTGAGCCTTCTGTCCGAACTTCTCAATCCTATCGATACCATATTTGACATGCTACGAAAAGTGAGTCAGGCATGTTCATTTACAATAGTGACGTGGAGTACATACTTCAGCTGACCAGTAGAATGCTTTCGTGTTATGCGGCAGATCAGGCAATCCAAAGAAGCCCCAGAACGCAATTGGAAGCGAGATGATGGCGTCCATGATGAACAGCCATCTCCACCCTGCAATCCCATGACGACCGTCCATGCTGGTGTATAGTCCTGCTTGCAAGTAACCGCTGAACATACTGGCAATGGATTCAACTTGCAGGAGTATAGCTAAGCGCTTAGTGAGCTCCTTTGGGCCGTACCAGCCACCCAGCATGGCGATGTATCCCGGGAAAGCACAAGCCTCGAACAGACCGATAAAGAAACGCAAAGCGTACATCTCGTACCGAAAGTTAGTGATATGGGCCATGCTATCTTCCATGGCTTGTACTTACCGTCTTGATATTCTTGGCAAACCCCATGCCGATAACAAGCAGCGACCAGATGACCTCGCACGACGGAATAAGAATCGAGGGTCGGATGAAACTGAGTTGTGACATCTGAGCTGGGACACTGCCAACCATGATGCCTAAACTGAACCAGGTGTTCAGCCAGTTGCGCTCATTTCCGTAGAGGCCCAGGTCAGTCTGCATGCCACTGATGAAGGCATTGCCTGAGGATCAGTGTCAGTAATCCTCAACTTCACAAGCTAATAATTTTGGCTTACTGTAATTTGTTTGATCAAGGTACTTTATGAAGTAGCCAAAACAAACAGTAGGACTGGTGAATAGAAGGAACTTGTTAGTCCTGGGAGAGCAAAGCCGCACCACACATGGCAAGAGATTGGACTCACAAGAAGAAAGTATCGAGCCTTTGAACGTATTTCCGGTACTCTGGATCTCCATCAACAGAGTCCCATACAAGACCGACAATCTTGCGCCATCGGGAGGGGGTTTTCTCGGGGATTGCCTCTGCGGTGTTTTCTGGGGTCGTGTCTTTGGCGTTCTTGTCCAAATCCGAAGTGGTTTCTGCCACTTCCACAGGGGCAGCGGACTTGAAATCCGACATGTCGGTCAGTGATTGGTACCTAGAGAAAACGATTCTGCACGCTCGTCCCAGCAATCTGGTTAGACGCTGATGTTCGGTCGACCTCAGATCGCTATATACTTTGGCTTCCGCGAGAGAAACGATTTTTTCCGAAGCACCTAACCGCATTGAATTAAGTCATGGATATGGCTGATTTGAGCTAGAAAACTTCCTATGCCTGATTTGCTACTGGTGGATGATGCCATTACAACCCCTGTGAGCGAGCTCACCCCCTTGACTCCTTCGGACCCGATTTTGTTCCAAACTAGCCTTGGATGTAATCTGCATGTACGCGCAGACAGAATCTGTTCCATCTGGCGGCTTTTCGAAATGAATGACAGTGCCTCAAGGGAGTCGTGCCGTTCTCGGATGTTGCAGCAGAAGGAACCCAATGTCATGGCTGGCCGCCCCACCATGTCGTTATCTCACTCCGCTCTGTCGCCTTACTTGATGTCCGGCATCTTTGCCGGTGCTTGACAACTTCCCGGCAAACTTGATTGCACTCAATCTGACCATTGCACAGAGAACTTGACTTCATTTGGATGTGAAAAGCCAGAAAAATCTCACTTTACAATCTGTCAACCTCAGTTCACGAAGAAACCCTTCAGAGGAAACATCGCAGTATCTGAACTGTTCATTAATAATGTTGCATTGGGAACAAAAGGCAATACTTCGATTACATAGGGGCACCTGATAATCGGTCGGAGCGTTTGAGTCGTGCCTTGTGGAAAGTAATGATAAGTCGACTCTCATTTTCTGTCCATTAAAGGCACGGTATCCATGCCCGGCTGCATCCTGGAGCGATTTGATTCAACCGGACTGTCCATGTATCCACAGCTCTTCCGGCAGGGTACTTCCTCCTCTCTCCGCGATCGCAAGGTAGCTTGGATGTTCTACTCATTCCGGTATTTTATCATGCCCGGCAACGCTAAAGTGCTGATACCGTCAGTCCGAATTGAAGACAGTCTGGCAGGCATCCTATTAATCAATTACCAGAACCTCCACGATTAGAGGACGCTCTTCAAACTCTTTACATCATGACGCCAGAAGTCCTACGACTTTCTTTAGAGAATGTCGATTTCCGGCTTCCGACACAAGTCACAGACGACAATAGTGTTACAGCACTCAAAAGTTTAGTCTTCGAGCCCCTCCTCCGATGGCAGTCCCATGGCCGCGTTGAGCCCGGGCTGTTTGACCGATGGGAGCGGTCCCCCGATGCCCGAATCTGGCAATTTCACATCCGAGAAGACGCCTTCTTTCATGATGGCGAGCCTTGCAAGGCTAAAGACATCGTCACTTACATCAATGGCCTCCTGGACTCAAGAGACTACTTTGGCATGCGCTGGAGTTACAGCCGCTATTTCTCGCAAACCAAGTTCTCTGCCGAGGATGATCGGACTGTAAAGGTGACAAATGCGGAACCATTCGCGGATATCGAGGGTATCTTTTGCGAGTTTTGGCCTTCTCGCATCGACAAGAATGGTAAGCCGGTGCTTGGAACGGGCCCATTCCGTGTCATCGAGTTCGAGCGGAAAGATAGCACGGGTAGAGCCATTTTGCAGCGGCTCAATCCGACGCGACATGGCTCACCTCATACTATCATAGCGACGATGGAACCAAATGCTGCCGAAAGACTTCGGCTTCTGCGTGCTGGAGAGGTCGATGCTGCCCTCAATCTGGAGCGGGTAGCTAATCTTAACCTTCTCAATTTCGACTCTGGATTTCGATGGGGAAGAGTGGCAAGCACCCTATCGGCTATTTACTATCTCAACTGCACGGATGGTATCTTTACTTCACCAGACGCACGTCTGGCTGTGAACCTTGCGTTGGACAATGACGCATTGGTAAAGGAAGTATACCATGGGTTCGCAAAGTCATCCGCTACAATCGTCAGCCCCTATCATCTTGGCTTCCCAGAATCACAATTGCAACACATTCCCTACGACCCCGACAGGGCCAGGGATCTCCTGAAAGATTTCGACAAAGGCACACATCTTGTCTTGAGAACCCCAGTTTACATGCCAGAGCATGCCCAAAAGATCTCGAAATTCGTGGCATCATCCTTGGAGGCCGTTGGTTTTCAGGTCGAAATCAAGGTTGAGACCAATAGACCAGAATATGCTCGCCAAATCGGACTCAAAAAAGAGATTGGAAGCCTCGCGTTGTTTGACTCAACCCCAAACAGCACGTTTCGCGTTTTGGATGATAAGATCTCCAGTTCGTCGCGTGCAACTTGGTGGCTTGGTTATCACGATGACAAGTTGCAAGAACTATTTTACGAGGCGCGAAACAAAATTAACTACGAAGACAGAGCGGAAGCATATGCGAAGACTCTGAAAAGGTTACAGCAGAATCCTCCATGGCTGTATATAGGTCATCCTGACGTTATTTGGGCAACAAGACACGATGTTGGACTTCAAATTGGGCATTCGGGAATACTCACACTCGATTAGTGAGCCGGAACTTTAGGAGGAGAAGAGAACGTTGTAGAAATCATTGGAGGCTGCAACAGCATTCATCTTTCTGTGGTGATACTTGAGCTTACATGTATTTATGAGCAAGAGCAAAGGGATATGAATCTTCTTCACATGAGGTGTATCAGCGTGGCCTTCTCATTCGAGCCCAACCTTCTTGATACCGTCTTTCTGAAGTTATCCCGATAGGAGTTCTTCCTGCGGAACCTCCGCAATGGGCCCGAAGACCCGGATCCACTCACATAACGCCTCGGTATATAAGTCGGCCGATGTCGCCGACTGCGCTGCACGTTTCAGTCCGATACTTCCTTGATCGATGCATGTAACTTTTCAAGCTTGCAATGAGCACCTCGGTATCCATCAACATCCTGCAAGCGGCGGCTAAAAGATATGGCACCGAGCCACTCCTAGTCTTACCAAATGGTGCGACTGTCGATTTATCGAAAGGTTACATCCCACTACTCGCACGATACACTTTCGAAGACAAAGCCGCCCAAGGTCTACGGAAGCGCAAGGCCGGTGACAAGCCTGAAAATCCGATTCACTTCTCTGCTCTTGAGCTAGTCCGCGACAACTCGATCTTGCTCTTGACGGGACCCAGCGGGAGCGGGAAGACTACATTTGCTAAGCACCTCTGCCACATCCTAGCTTCCTCTGGATTCAGCAATGCGCGACCACTACCTCGAAACGACCTAGGTGATATCAAGGAAGAGAATTGGGGTGCCAGCAGATTGTCTCCGTGCTATTTCTCACTGAGTGGTACCGAGTCTCTGAAACGGTTGGCTGATGTAACGATTCCGCAACTTCTTGGCGCATCTGGTTCTCAGCACGAGCATCTGCTCATCGTCCTCGATGATCTGCAGACCGCAGGGGATGAACTGATCTCTGTTCTGGCAAAAACACTGGCCCTAATACGAGAGCGAACCTACACCAAGCTACTCTTGCTTGGCGATACAGATGTCCTTGACCACTGGAGCTTCCCGGCCGTCGTCCGACACGAGTTGCTTCCCTTGCTAGAGTGTCAAAGAAGGGAGGCAGTGCGTTCTCACCTGAATTTGGATCCGTCGACTCTCATAACAACTGGCATGGGTGAAGCTGCGTCGAACCCGGCCATGTTTGCTCTCGCGGTTCAAGCCAATCACTCTGGAAACTGTGCCGAGGAGCTGCTAGATGCGTGGCTTTCGTCCACCCACTCGCAGCCAGATGCTGCATCGCTTCTAGCAGAGAGGTCATACAAGCTGATATTCCACAGCTCATTAACCACCGGTCCGACTGAGATGTCGTTGACCGCGATTCAGCCCAATCCTGCCTTGCGAAGCCTGACGGTGCAACGGCTCCTAGCTGCGCGGCACCTAGCTGATTTGACACCGCAAATCGCTGTCGGCCTCTTTCGTGATCAGCCTCATGCTTCGGATGATGTTCTAAGAAGCTGCTTGTCGCGTCTCAGCTCCTTACATAGGTCTGGCGTCCTTGTCGACGGGCTCCTCGGGGGCACACCAGCTGACGCTAAGCGCGCTGCCTTACTGGTGGCTGGCCTTATTCCATTATCCGCGGAAGTCGAAAGCAAGGTTATGAAGCTGCTTCTGGAAATCGTCGAGAATGGAGATTGCTCGGCTGGTGAACGCGAGAAAGCCGGTCGTCTACTGTCAAAGTATGGCGACCCGCGAGATCTGACTGAACTCGCAGAGGTTCCCGCCGGAAGCTTCATGATGGGCTCTGAAAGTCATCCCAATTCGCAGCCTCTGAGTAGAGTTTCGCTCGAGAGGTTTCGCATCGGTGTCTATCCTGTCGTCAACAGAGACTACGCCGCCTTTGTGAAGGAAACTAGCCGCGAATGGCTCAGTCCTGGTGGCAAGGACCCGGAGAAAGCAAATGCACCAGCGACCGATCTTACATGGCATGACTCAAGGGCTTACTGTCAATGGCTCACAGAAAGGTGGAGAGAAGAGAAAAAGATTGGTTTGAATGAGCACGTGAGGCTTCCTTCAGAGCCAGAGTGGGAGTGCGCGGCCAGGGGTGGCCGGGATGAGACGGGCACTGAAGGGTTGGCTTTCCCTTGGGGCACAGATTGGCAGGAACATACTGCCAATAGCGACGAGACTGGCTTCAATACGACCTGTGCTGTTGGTCTCTTCCCAAGGGGGCTCTCGCCGTACGGCTGCCATGATATGGCGGGGCATGTATGGGAATGGTGCTCAACTCTCTGGGGCGAGGACATGACGATGCCAGCTTTCCAGTACCCTTGGCGGGATGATGGGCGAGAGTCTTTAGATGCCTCGGACCATGTTCGAAGAGTACTGAGAGGCGGATGCTTCTCGAGTCCCAAGTTGAAGGCAAATTGCACGTATCGAGGTAGCCTCGAACCAACAGGATTCTGGAGAGGCAATGGGTTCCGCATCGTTGTTGCGCCGCTAGACTCACAAGATTGAATGAAAGCAGACAACTCCTCACTTTGAACCCTTTATAATCGATACTGGAAAGACTCTCAACAATTAGACGTTATCCCCGGCTTCATCTCGTTGTGTCAAAGATCGGCAGAACGCCATCACGTTTGCCGGTCATGCCGGTATTCGGCGGGTCCAACTTCTAAAGTTCCGGCGCGATGGATGCAGCTCAGACTCGGCCGGTGTCGGGGGCAATTGCGGGATCTAGTCAGAAACACAATAGTGGATAAGCATCGCGTCATGTTGCCTATGCCTGGGAGTCTGGTTCATATACGTGCAGCTTGTTTATATGTCCGTTTGATCTCTGTCAGTCTGTCTAAGCAGATGGTATTCCTGAACTTATTCTCAAAAGCTGATTATTAGTTCAAGAGTTCGAAAACATACCTGGCAGGTTACCGAGCTCGATCGAACGTGTCGGCCATCTTCCGCGAATATGCCGATTATTTCCGATTTCAAGCTTCCGGAGGATGCGAGCGCCCTAGGACGGTATACGACAAATTCCACAGCCCCCTTTTTCATCACATTCACTACGTCGGACCATCCTGATACGGGAGAGTCATGGTGTCCCGATGTCCGAGCTGCACTCCCTCGCATCATTGCCGCCTTTTCGCCTTCAAGCGCACCGGAGATGGCCTTCGTTGAAGTAGGACAGCGGCCTGAGTGAGTAGCTGGAAGCTTGAGCTTCACAACTTGTTGGGGCGATTATCAGCTAAATATTAGTGGCAAACCAGGTGGAGAGTCCCTACAAATGTGTTTCGCACCAAGTGGAACGTCAACAATGTGCCGACAATTGTTCGGTTTGAGCTTTCAGATGGCGAACTGAAAGAGACGGCTAGACTGGTAGAAGGCGAGATACTGGATGAGAAGCAATTGAGAGGACTAATCCGCAACAACTAATGAGATGTTGACCTTAGATACCTTAGTGAGTACCTAGCTCCGAGCTCCCGCGAGAGGGCTGGAAAGTAAGCTTTCAGGCGTGATGTAAGCGCCATGGCAAAGCTTGTTTTCCTGGCCAAATGATCACCATCTTTGCTTTCCACACAGCACCATCATCGCATTTCTCGGCTAAGGTGGTGATTAATCCAGGCAGCAGCATCTAATTTACCGTCTTAGCCGCCTATTCAAGCTTGAGATGACGAGTCTGTGCCGCTCGCTAACATCGATCGGTACTAGTCTACTGAGCCAATCTCGGCCGCATTGGCTCCCGTTTGCTGGTGCTGAGGATCAGGGGCAAATATGAATCCTTCGGAAAATTCTCAGTCATCGTCAACAAACATCGTGTTCTGATGCGTGTCGTTCTATTCTAAAAACTCTTTTCTCGTCTTCACAGATCGTAATTTTACTTTTCATAATCGCCTCTTATTCAATCAGCGTTTCTCCATCAGTCGCTCGCTACAGATCTACGACCAGTCTCTCAACGCATCGAACATGATCTCATCAACATTCCTCTGCCCAATGGGCGTTTTGCTAGCAGGCGCGTCGCGTGCCTTGGCGTTCGACCGCATTAGCATACCGACCACGGTCAAGGCTGACACCGACGTCGAAGTCACCATACAGAACGACATCGCATCCGGTAGCAAGTCTTTCGACGCCGGTTTTACCAACTACAACCTCTACCTCTCAACCACTCCGCCGGGATGGGGCACCGGCCCCGTGTGCGTCCTCGCCAACGGGACAAAGATTGACGTCACCTCCGTGAAGGTGAAAATCCCCGCCGACGCGATCCCTGACGGTTCCGACTTCAAGATCACCGCAATGGAGTGGAACTCGGATCCGACCAAGGACGGGCCCTCGGGCTTCGAATACAGCAACGACTTTTCCTTCTCGGGCGGTACGGGACAATGGGGCAAGACGGAGCTCGGAGGGTCCACGCTGGGCGACATGGATCGCATCCCGTGCACGGCGTACGCGTGCGCGCGCAACTGCAATGACAAGTATTTTGAAGAGAGGAACACGACGAGCGAGGATCCTAGTGTCTACAAAAACACATACGAATGCGTCGCCGCATGTCCCGGCACGACTTTCCCGTCCTGGGATTCAATCATCAACGATAACGGGGGTGGGCAGGGCTCAGGCTCCAGTGCGGGGCCCTCGGGAAGCGCTTCGGCAACGGCAACGAGATCCGGTGCGTTGGCGACAGCCTCAACCTCCCCGACAGGGTCTACTTCTACTCCGACATCAGCCCAAAGTAGCAGCTCGCCATCTCAGACACCTAATGGTGCCGCCTCGGTCACTGCCAAGGCCTCTGGCCTTGTCTTTGCCGGCTTTGCCATCGCGTTTAGCTTTCTCTAGTCATGAACTCGGCGATCATGGGCCATGTACGGATCGTTCGTAGTGTAGTGTAGGATAAATGGTGCGCTATCCGCAGATACTTAGATATTCTTTAATATTACTCATCAAGCCACTGAACATGCACACTATGTACGGTTGTTTTCTCGGCGAGAAATCCCAATGGGGAAATTTATTCCACTCATGATCATGACAAATCCCATATCGCGAGACCGACAATCCGCGGGCATGGAAATGGCCCTCCAATCCCTGTGAATTCTGGTAGCATGCTGCTATGTCCCACGTTGATGCGTCGGCCTAGGACAGAATCAGTAATAATCTCCCGATGGTTGTACTACGTACGCACATGCGATCATAGCGGCAGTTTCTTGGGTTCCCGGACCGAGAGCTTAAATAGGTGACAGCTGCATCTACGGATAGTCAGTTGCCTATAGATTTCAGCTGCAAAGACTGGCCAGGCTTGAGCGATCTTGATCCTCTGATAACTGAACGGTTCCGATGCATACTTTCCTATTTGCCCACTACACGCGCGCCAAGGGCTATGGCTCTTACGAATGCAGACTTACCAGTGGCTTGGGTCGGGTACACCGTACTATAATTAATGCATGCAACCTCATTGAGATACACGCAGCTAAAACTGCTGTTGATTAAGGTGGCATCAAGACGTCCACCTAGTGAATATTTGCCGAATGCCTACCTCAAAGTGGCACCGATACATTCCGATTAATGACTGTTCAAGAGGCAGCTAAGGCACCTATCTACAGTTTGCCTCCGGCCAAATGGCCCCAAACTAATACTTCATGGGCTTGAGAATCATGACGAATTAGTGATTATCATCCTTAGCCTCAAAGGCTTAAGAATTGAATGCATGCTATGACTCAAGACCACTGTGAGTTTACCACAAGTGCACGAAAACATAGCCGTGTTTGCCGTTGCAGAGGCGGCCGCGGGCAATAGTCGGTGAGTACCTTGATGATTATGGCAGCCCACATCGAGTGCCCAGTATTGCGTATATTCAAAGTAAATGACGAACACGACGAAATCCTTGTGTGCGTATCTTACTCGAAGAAGCTTTTCGTTTTCGTCAATTTTTGATAGACAGGTAAGTGCAGAGTCTGCATGACTATTGCCCAAAAAGAGCCCCGGGATCCAGGTTCCGAAATATGAACCCACGGGACTGTCTTGGACTTAGCCAGAAGCACTTGCTCATGGTACCAAAGAGAAGTGCAACTCCAGTCGCACAGTCGTATCTTTGTATTCTTGCGAGAAGAAAAAATAACCAAGAGGAAAGTGAGAAGTTGGACACTCACTCGATGCAATCCAATATAATTAGCAGACGTGCAACTGCCGGGGCATGAGGTGTTTTTCGAAGTTCAGTATGCTCTGATTCTCCAAGTCTGCTTATGATGTACCTGCAGGGCTTGTTGGAGCTAGACCGGACATAACTCGCAGTAAAGCCCGTATGATGACATGGAACATAGAATTTCGATGCACTCCGCCTAACCCACAACCTATTGATAGAACGTAGAAACCCAGATCAGGTAAGCATTTCGCAATAAAAGGTTCACCTTTACACAGGATTACGATGGATCGTTGCCGAATTCGATAGAATTCGGCCACATGTTAACTCCGTCTTACTGATGTTCATTGTTCAACTTATTGGCATTGTGGATTTCACATGACTTTGATATCTTGGATGATGGGCCTGGGGGAAATTGAAACAGGGGACTAAAAATTACAATGTACGTGTAGATCCAACGGTACGGAAACTGTACATATCCTGGCCTGTTTTCTTAGCGTTGGTGGTCGAGATGGGATATTATCCGCCGAGTCTCTACCAGATGTAGCTGGCAAACTGACAAATCGCCACTGCATTTCGGTCTCGCTTCCGACCAGTTAGCATAACATCGCTCCTAAAAAGTTTGAGCTGCCCTGCTAATGTCTGCGGAAAGTCCGCTCTTTACATGCAAAACTGCACCGGCCGGGCTTTAACCTATTAGAGTCTAAACAGCTGCCCCTGTCTTTGCTCGTCCAATCCAAGCCCGTGCGTCCCCGCGAGCTCCACGGATTCCGCGGCTCACAAAAACAAAAAGGCTCGAAGAACCCGTAAGGAAAAGGGAAGCTGTAGGCGTACGGAATCTCAGTCCGACCCAGTAGTCTGAGGGCATTTGTCGAAAGGGCATCCTCATACTTGTAATTCGGCGACGTGGGCTTTCCGTCACATCATGGATCCGGAGCCGCATATGCCCAAAACAAGCGTCATTCCTAGAGCTGTATGCCTTCACTTTCGGAATCCGCGCGCCTGGCGGCCGAGTATGCTAACTACCGGTATCCCACTCTAGTGCCACAACTGTCGGATCCGTAAGGTATTCATAATTCTCTATGTCCGAGTCCCCTGTCGTCAATAGCCGGCTGAGACCTTCCGGACCCGATCCGTCGCACGCGTTCCGCGCCATCTCCTCCGCGCTCCCATTCGCTTAGCATTCGAATGTTCACAATCGCCCAGCTGACGAGTAGGGTTCTAGACACGCTGCAATCGAGAGGTTCCATGTTCCAACTGCATCACATCGAAGATTCCATGCCGCCCGGCAGGGCGACACACTGCACAGCGGCCAACAGTTGAGAGGGCCGAAAGGTACCGGTGACAAATGGCGCCGTAACCGAGTGATTTTGGGTTCGAGCTGACATTTCAGCCGCAGCCACAGTCCTGGTGCGCCGACAATTCATCAACTGCATGAGAGATTGAAAGCCGTCGAAGAATCTCTCAGGAACCAAAATGACCAGCACGCCAATAGGGCGACATCGATCTCTACGCCAAATACGATCCCGACCATTGAGGATGATGCAGTCTCACATCACTGTCTGTGGGAAGACCACCATGTCTCGTACGAGGGCGAATCTTCATTCAGGCAACAGACTCTACTTGCAAGTCAGATAGAGGAACTTCGACTTGAAGAGGCGCAGACCCCAGGCGTGATTGACGAGCTTGCAACGTTACGAGGGATATGCCAACGACAAGAGACCCCCGTAGAATCGCGATCGAACCGGAAGATTCGCCAGCCTCATTCAACAAAAGGGGCAGAGTTGCAGCTTCCACCATCTGAGTTCGTGATTCGTCTTCTTCGGACTGTGAGCCGTAAGTTGCCGCAAGCTGGCTTTCAATCTCAGCCGAGAAGCTAAGCTATCGTCAAAAGCAGATCACTCCATCTTGTTCCTATTCTACGCAGTCGAAAATCGCATTCAAGTCGAAGAACTCTGTCGAAGGGTGTACTTCTCTGTAGAGCCAGTGACGATTGGAGAAGTCACCTTGCTGAACGGCTTCTTGTCGGTGCTCCTCAGGGACATCGATTTCGAGTCAAATCCCGAATTCAGTCCAGAAGAAGCCAACCGGCTGTACACCATGTGCAACTCCAACTTCAAGGCTGGAGTCGAGACTTACGAAGTGATGGCGGTACCTACATTCGAGCATACTCTCATATTATCCATAGCGGTCAGTAAAGCGCGAGTCTGGTCCGTGTTGTATCTTCGAGACGGTCGACCATGTGAACTGACTCGAGTTTCGGGCATGTAGTGTCTAAAGGCACAACAGGATGGCAACTTGCCGCTACAATGGAGCCTCATGTCCGCTGCCGCCCGACACGTCCTAGCATTAGGTTATCATCGAAGGGGGAAGTTGGCCGCGCTACCGAACCAAGAAGCGCGGCGGGCACGACGACTCTTCTGGCACGTATACTTTGCAGACCGGGGATTGACCCTCACACAAGGAAAAGCGCCAGTTATACAAGACATTGATGTCGATGTCGAGCCATTCGAAATCATTCAAACGCCGGAGAGGAAGCCCTGGGATACCTCATTCTCCGCCTTCATCGAATTTGGGAGAATACAATGCAAGATCTACGAAAAGCTCTACTCTCCTGCAGCATCCCGCTCTACGGAGGAGGAGAGGCGGGCCGTAGCAGTCCATCTTGCAAAGCGCCTATCGACATGGTATGAATCATGGCGCAGCGTCGACTATTCCCTCGCATACCGAGTAGAACTGTTTCAATTCACGTTTGATGCGCTCGAGGTCGTTTACTATTCTATTCTAACACTCATACATCGTGGGGCAAGCAGCTCGAATGCCGCCAGCGCCATCACGGAGGAATGCTTCGAGGCAGCTAGGAAAGGCTTGACCGCCCATGCAACCGCATACCCCCGGTCCGCTTCGGGAGGATATGCCTCTCTATTCACTTATGCCGTCTGGTATGCTACTTTTCCTCGTCCCAAAGATCAAAGACTGTCAGCTAATCCTCGAGTAGGACACAGCTCTATTCCTCATATACGCCATACATTATCACCTTTCTCCACTGCATCAGGAACTCGGACGATCAAGACCTGAACCTGATGCGCTCCTCCTTGGAGATCAGCGAGCGCCTAGGTGGCTTGGTGGAATCCTGCAAGAAGCAATATGAATTATGTCGGGCCCTGTACCGCATAGCAGAGGCCTACATCAAGGCGAAGAAGGGTGTCGCATGTACCGCCGCACCGGCTGAGACTACCATCACTCTACCCCTACAACAACCGACGTCTGATAGCTGGCCCTGCTTCGAGTCAAATCTGGAGGCGAACCCGTTCCCGGACCTGCACGTCGATGACTGGAATGGCTCTTACATGGGACAGATGTCATTCACCTTGGAGAATCATCTCGGAAAGGGCGGTCATTAGCTAAGATGATAGCAAACCACCCCAAAACATGTTATGCTTCCCAGGTCGGTTGAGAGATGACCTAATGTCGGAATTTTACCTCATGCAGTGTACAAGAGTCCACGGCCTCCTCCGATATTGCCTCCGTCGATCGATCTACTCCCACCCAGAGCCCTTCGTAGAATCAGGATGACTACGTAGCTTCTAGAATTCGGTAACATTAGTTGCAGGTCACATAACTTTGCCAGACATTATCGGGGCCTATCCAGACGAATGGCCAGGCTTAAGGGGATGGGCTGGCGGCTCATAGATGATACAGTCATCCCGAATGCTCTAGCTCTAGGCATTCCCGGTGTCGTTCGTCCAGATGGTCACCAGAATTCTGCCCTGTCCATCTGAAGTGGCCTGCGTCCATATCAACAAGTAGGCCATAGGGGTCAAAACAGTATCATTTATATTAGCATCAGACCAGGAAGGTCCCAAAAAGAGTTCACCCCCCCCCCCGGTGCTGAATTGGGGGCTATATCTCTGGTGCTCATGCTGGGATTCGAACTCGAGTACTCGCTAAGCCTGTCGTCGAGTAGGCTGGTTGGCGTAGAATTGAATGTTGACCTCAAACCACTCCACCACCCAGCCAGTTTGACCTGACCCGTCGACCTAGACGGGCGCCTGCTGGCTGGTGACTGGAATGGAGTTGAGGGGGTATATATGGGCTTTCTCCCGTGTATCCAGGTCCTCGTGTGGCTGAAAGATTATCGGATGAAAGTTTGGTGGCTGTGGTCGGCTCTGCCTGATCCACCAACGCCGGACTACTTCAGACAGTCACGTCTTCATGGAAAGGAAGGTAAGTTCAGCGACACATATCTTATCTCCAGAGAATATACCTTGTGATTGAGGCCAGGCGTGACAGGAGTCATTTAAAGGCGACAACCTCTCGGTACCATGTAGTTCTCAAGCCAAAGTGGTGTGTATCGCGTGCATAACTTAGGCAGGCCAACGCAAAGGACTTAGTAGGAAAGCAGCAGAAAATGGGCGAGAGCCTCGAGGGGCAAAAAGTCGGAGGGATTTCTTGTTCAACTTGTTGAAGGGAGTCGGAGTCAACTCCCGCTCCTACGCGCAGTTTTCACCTCAATCAACTACCGGACGGTATCAAAATCGGGCTTATTCGCCCTTGTAATGGATAATATTCATGTCCGCCGCCATCTACCCGCCCGGCCCGAACCTATACATGAGCACTAGCAAGGATGAAGGAGGAGATACTGGGGCTTTGGGAGCCTCAGAATATGCCATACTATCAAACACGCATGTCAGGACCTCATTGGAGCTCGGAACGATGCCTGCGATGGAACTCATCTCTTGTCTTGGTGATGACTTTGATGTACGCTCGCAGCTTCTGGGCAACCGCACTTTCAGCGGTCACGTAATACTTCTTGGCCTCTCACCCAGAGGTTTTGTCCAAGCTTACCCACAAAGTCTTGTCCACTTTTCAAGCGGAGGGAAAAATCAACACCAATTTTGCCCAGAAGCTTCGACTGAACCCGTCTCTTCCTCACTCTTCGCCGTTGGTGGTGCGCAAGGGAGGCGACCTTTTCTGTGGGTTCTAGGTACCAGAAGGGATAAGTCGCCATCTTTATACCGCCAGCTGTTGAAGTATCAGGATAAGAGCTGCGGAAAGCATTCACTGCTTTTACGTACAGACCGTCATTGGAATTTTTCAGTGGTCGATGTATCATAGCTCTCAGAACTTCACGATCCCATCAGTCTTTATCACAGAGCGCTGACAGGGTGATATTCGCTTCGCCAGTGACCAAAGAGAAGCCAGGAAGCCCTTCAGCTTTGTACCAAGGAACTGCACTGGAATGAAGTAGGTCAGGTCCAGAGAGCATCTTATCAAGACGTCGAGTATCTGGGCTAGCAAACCTGACTAGCCTCGCATACACGGAAATGAGGAGTATTCTGTCCAGGATCAATTGGGATTCCGAGATGAGACTTTCTGGTGAAAGTAGAAGGTGGATCGAGTTTCAGGAGGCGAGGGTTGTTTGGGAAAAGCCCGCGTCGAAGGTGTATTGACACCTCGGGAATCGCTTGCGTCAAAAGCCTAGGAGACACTTCTTGGGCGGGGTATGGCCTCCGCTTATGATGGACGTTCAAGTCATGGAGAAAGTTGCAAAGGTTTCTGACCAGATTCAGCTTGGACTACTCTACTTCGCATCGGCTCTAAATACGGAAATGCGGAAGAGGTAGGTATGAGAACTCAAGAGTCTGGTTCAAGAATGGTTATTGAACGATTCTCGTGGTGGTGGCAATCAGAGGGGCTAGTTCTACCCGATTTGGTCTTGTGGATCATACCGAGGATGCGAAAAACGAGCGATTCGTCAATTGGCCAGACTGAATACGATTTTGCTGTCCTTAAACGCTCATCAACTTCTGTGGTGTTGATCTCGACATGTCTTCCAGGTTGAATGTAACCCATGTCAGAATTTCCCCTTCCACAAGACGTCTGCGTCTTCCGCGTATAGGCATTGCACCTAGCCATTGAACCTCAGATCCTATTCTGGGGATGCGGGGTATGACCCATGCCCACAGTAGGCCACAACACATTACACTAATGGTTGAAGGTAAAATGTCGTGACTTCAATCACCCCGTAAACTCGGCATAGTAGGTGCTTATCATATCTGTTTATGATCATTCCTCCACATTGAGCCATCTTAAGCGCTTATGATAGCACTAGCTAGGAGACATATAAGAGTGTATAAATTCAGATCGCAAGTATAGTATTGCGTCCTCGAGCTAACAACCAAACATTATTACCGATAGCAAAAATGGGTCGATTTCAAGTTTTCTACTTGTTAATATTCACTTTGGTCCTCTTTGGAAATATCGAAGCTCAAGCAACTACGGCCAATGACTTGACAAAGTTGCCTCAGTTTCCCCACAAGGCTCGGACGTTCATTCTGACGGATATTCTTAATGAGCCTGATGACCAGATGTCTATGGTTCGCTATTTGACTTACTCAAACGAGTTCGATACCAAGGGTCTGGTTGCCACAACCTCCGTTAGCTTGCCGAACGAAACGCACCCAGAGGCTATCGGACTTATTATTAAAGCATATGGCGAAGTGGTGTCCAATCTAAATCAGCATGTGCACCCCAACGCAAGCTTCAATCCCGCCGAGGACCTTTTGAAACTTGTGAGATCAGGCCCAGTGGTATGTGACTGATCCCCCGCCTGGCGATTGTAAACGCTCTTCATTAACTTGTCGTCTCCAGGTTTACGGCCGGAAGGCTCTGGATGAACCGTTAAGCGATGGCTCCAGACTCCTTGTTGAAGCGCTTGAAGCGGACGTTGATCCGTTGTTTGTCTCCATTTGGGGCGGAGCAAACACCCTAGCGCAGGCCTTACAGTTCATCAGCGCAGAACGAACTTCCAGTGAGGCAGCCGAGCTTCGGTCTAGGCTTCGGGTCTACTCGATCTCGGACCAGGACGATTGCGGCCCATGGATTCGGGCCAACTGGCCAGATATCGCGTACATCGTCAACGTGCACGGCTTTCGAGAATTCCAAGCTTCTACATGGAGCGGCATGAACGGCGCAGATAACGGTGCTTCTAATGTGACGAAAACACAAGACGATTGGTTGACTCCCAATATCCGCATCGGCCCTCTGGGTCAGGTGTATCCCAAGATTATCTACGGCATGGAGGGTGACTCGCCGAGCTTCATGTGGCTGATCCAAAACGGCCTTAATAGTGCGGGGCGTCCAGACTGGGGTGGCTGGGGTGGTCGGTACAGTCGTGTAACCGAGGCCACGGACATCAATGAATATGGTACATCCATGGATACAGCAGTCTCTGTGTCTGGCCTGGATCATCAAAGTTCAGGCGCCACTGTTTGGCGGTGGCGAGACGCTTACCAAGACGACTTTGCTGCGCGCATGCAGTGGACAGTCACGGATCGATTCGAAGACGCAACTCACCCGCCCAATATCAACGTGAACGGCTCCGTCAGTCTTGATGCCATGGAGGTTCTTCTCCCGTCCAAAGACACAATCATTCTGGATGCCAGCGCGACCTACGACCCTGATCACCCCGAAGACTCGACTCACCTCGAGTTCGAGTGGTATGCATACACGGAAGCCTCCGTTGCTTGGGCTAGTGGATATCTCGAGGGGCTCATCGAAATTCACCCTCTATCGCCGCCTTATGGTACAACCGGTTATCTCGAGGTCAACGATGCGGGGTTCAGGAACGTCACGACTGGTTCAAGGGTCCAGATCACAAACAATGTGCCAGTTATCTCGCGGCTTGAAGGAGCATTATGGCATGTTATTCTCCAGGTGAACAACAAGAAGGGTCAACACCCGGTTCGTAGGTATAAGCGAATCCTGATTCGAGACTCGGATAGCAAGAAGTGAATGGAGAGCAGAGAGCTTCCACGCCATGGTCTGTAGGATAAGCAAGATGTTATCTTCAATCCCTGGGCCATGGGTGATGGAGAGAATCTAGGAGACCCCGCAAACGAAGATTACAGAGAACTTGGAACTCCTCTCCCACACACAGTATAATGTCTCCTCTGATTCGACAAATCCTGTGAAAGTAGGATTGTATGTGGATTTCTGTCTCTCCGAGTGATCCACGGTCTATGAAAGGCTCATGCAAGGCTCTTGGACTTTAGTAGAGAGATCGGGTCGTCTGTCTTAGTTCAGCCGGCGCACATCTAACAAGAATCTGGAGCAGTTTATCGACTTTCCTGCGGCGTGCCGGCCTGATCGTCTCCCTCAAAACCCCCTTGTCTAAGATAGTTGTCCACCAATGCAGCCTCCGTGCGACTCCGAATCTCGTCCAGCGCCGGCTGGGCAGTCAGCCAACTAGCCACAAGCATGCTCTTCATTTGCCAGGTCGAGCTGAATCGTCTAGCATTGTACCAATCCAGGTTGTGGCGTCCGAGCTCCGGTTTCCAGGGGAAGTTGGCGATCAGGTGGAGGCGCAAGATGGCGGGGTAGTTGTCCAGCTGCAGCAGGGATTCTTTCACGGCGACGATGTACCATCTGGTACTCCCAAGAACGAATCCTAATGAAGAACCGACGATGAAGGGTAGGGCGGCGGTGCCCCAGATGCTACTTCCCACGATAGCGGCTGAGAGTCCGAGGACGGCGGCTGTCGATGTGCCTGCTAGCATGCTCCGGAGCATACTGGGATGATGTTAGTTATGAGCGCATATCATGAGATTTTCGGTGCATACAGAAGACCGGGGCCACTGTTGAAAATTAGCTAAGCTTAAGTATGGGGAGGACTGGCAGAACAGACTTGACATTGCCCCATCCGCCCAATATCCTCAACAAGTTGAAGTGAGGTTGCGCGTTGGCGGTGTACTCATTGACCTTTGAATACGATTAGTAGAGCGCTCCTATCGCAAGGAAACAAATCCAGCCTTACTGCATATTCTTGGACCGACATTCTGATGTGCAGTCTGCAAAGATCCGTCAAAACACTGAGACACTAGGAGGATCATCACAGGTGAATGTTGATTGAAAACATCATTGTTTGATCTTAGTTCGGGCCCAGTCTTCTTAGTCAGCTACCAGCCGCATCGTGTCATTGGTCAGTGCGGCAAAATTTCGGGCACCGGCGCCAGCTCCGTGCATCGGTAGGTCCACCCGCCGTGCCTCGGCTCCGCTAACCCGGGCCCGGCATAAGTATCTACCTAACCTGCCAAAGTATTCACGTTATTGCCTTGTCGGCTGCTAATTCAAAGTTATTTTGACGAAGTATATGAACGGTAGCCTCACCATCTTCGATGTTCTTGCTGATCTATCGAGCGACATCCATGATATTTGAGTCCATGATTAAGTCAAGAGTACCTCGGATAAACATGACAGCGTGAGAGGATACATGTAGTGAGGTAGCCGTGTATCTTGGATACACGAGAGATCGAACCTTCCCCTCCAATTGAGCAACACAGAACTTCAGACTATGCATTCGAAAAGCATATCACGTCTAGGACGACATGACGCTTTATGAGAATAGGCCGTGGACTTGAACAAGATTGGACATCGATTGAGTAAGTTCACTGCTAGCTAGGCTACTCTTACGGCAGTGGTTATCGTTCCAAATCAAGAGGGAAGTTAAGAATCACCGTAGGTGTGAGGCGCAAACGGTTGGTGACGACGAGGTCTATTTTTTCAGCGTCTAAAAGCTAGAGTGCAGTCAGGCTATATGCCTGCTGTGATATTGAAGCAGCGACTCGGAGGGGCGCTGCGGCAGGGTGTACACAAAGGCTAACTCTGCTACTTGCCAGACGCGTTTCCGCCTTGCGAAGAGGATCCGCCGCGATCAACGTTCATGAAGTCTTCCTGTGTAGGCGTTCTGATGTCACCCTCTTCGGCGGCCTTTTCTGCGGCTGCCATATCCTTCTTCCACTTCTCTCGAAGTTCTTTGTAGACCCATGCAGTATCATTCTTGACCTTGATAAAATGCGCTTGCTGTGCCTTTCTCCGAGGCTCACGGGCAGCTTCCATCATATTAAGATGGAATTGGAAGATGAACTTGTTCCGCTTCACAGGGTCTGGCACCCATGCCTCCATCTTCTCTTGAGTGGCAGTGCTGATACAGGAATCATAAGGTCCCTCTTGAGGCCATGGACTTCCTTCAGTATAGCTTTTAACTCTAGCCTTTTCCCCGCAATAGTGTTGGGGGTCGTTACGCGCGAAGTGGCAGTAGCTGTTCAATCTCTCTTCGATATGACCGCAACACACAGGGAAGGAGAATTGTTCATACAAACACATGGTGGAATATCGTAGAAGCTTGATAGGCGAAAAACGATGAGACTAAGAGTAAATGACACGATGATTAGCACAGTTGCGTGTGTTGCTGGTCACGACTTGCTTTCAAGTGCGTGCCGGTCTGAGAACTTACTGGTGATTTGCAATAGAACTGAGTGATTTTGTAGACTTGATTGTGTTCTAGTTGGATGGGGGTGTTGATGCGGAATGGAAGGTCACTAGAGTCCTGACAGTGGCCAGTCTTACATCCATTAGGTGAGGTTGTGAACATCCAATTCACGATGGCCAGTTCAATGATTTGGCGAAAGGCTGTTGACCTTGTCGAGGACATGTTTGCGATTCTCATGGCTTTCAATATTACTGTATTGCCGCGCTGCGTTATCGCCTGCCGCGCCTACAATGAACTTGGGTGTCGTGATCTCCCCATTTCGTTTGCCCAGACGAAGCGTATAGAATGAATTTTGCTGTTAGCCTTTGGAAATGAATGTGACATTCTACATCACACGCCCAAGATCGCGAAACAAAAGTGGTTTGGTTACTTTGGTAAGTAAGGTAAGTAGGTAAGACGTAAAGAACAGCGTTCATTGTCAACGTTGTCTCCTCCGCCCCCAATAATCCCCACGAACTCATCAGGTAATACGAAAAGAGAGCATGATGGGGATTCTACAAGCTATGACCAATGTCGATTTTTGCTTCGGGAGAATGAGCCTTGGTCGCCAAACGACAACACCTGGGCTGTGATACCCCTCTACCGCATTCTCAAGGTAAGGAGTGGCGTACCAACAAAGAAGTGGAACAGCCGCCCTAGCCGGGAAACATGAGGCAATGCTTGCCATCTTCAATTGAAATCCCGTTTCGAAAGTCTGCTGATCTCATCCGGTCTTTCGTGGAGGTAGGCAGGGTTTACCGCCCTTTGGTCCGTAACAAAGCATGTCGAAAGCACTCCGTGACTGCCCCGTACGGTACCCAACTGACCTAGAACGAAGATTCTGTTCGCCCGACATAGAAGGCTTGAATACCACCAAGAACACACCAGAAGGGGCGCTAGTGAATCGAGAACAATATTCCTTGACGGACGCCTGATTTTTTGGTACCTGCATGCAGGTGTACGAGAACCGCTTCTCATTCCGTTCCTGTTGGGCCAAATGGGGCAAACGCAAGCTGAAGCTGACATCGTCCGATCGGTGACGGACTTTTTGGGGATGACCGAAATTATACCGGCTGCAAGAACCCACCATCGGTGCTTTCCCCAACCCGCCTCGGTCCCGAGCCTGCCACCCTGCCCGACTAATCCTCCTAAGTCTTCCTACGTCAGCTTCAGCAACCCTTTTTAAACTACCATCGCCCTGCAGCATTCCATAGCGTAGCTTAGCTAGCAGTGTTTTGTTTACATCATTTTGCATCAGTGCACACCTGCATATCGTCTTTACACATATCATCCGTGGTCAATTGAAGAATGGCATCAGTAACATTACGCCGTGTTCGACCGGCGACCATTGCGGCTACCGTCGCAGCTGGGGGCATTGGCTTGGCGGCGTACTCGAGACTGTTCATGAACAAGGCGTCTGCTGAGTCCGGAGCGCCGCCAAAGGTGTTTGGGGCGGGGCCTGCGTTTGTGTCGCTTGCGTTGGATAGCTCGGAGGATGTGAACCACAACACCAAGCGCTTGCGCTTCAAGTTACCACAGAGGGAGGCAGTCAGCGGTCTTTCATTGACGTGTGAGTGTTCGCGGTCACTTGGATTGGGTGCAAGAAGACGAAGGTGTTAATGTTCAAGAACAGCTGCTGTCCTGACCATGTCATGGCCTGAGGGCAGGTGGCTCCCCGTCGCGAGGCCTTACACGCCCGTGCAACCCCTCGGTAAGAACAAGAACAATCCCCCAAAGGGCATCCATCGCACTCCGGGTACGAACAGCTACTGACCAAACAAAAAGATGACGCCGGCTATCTCGAGCTGATGGTAAAGAAGTACCCAGACGGCAAGCAGAGCACACACATCCACTCCCTCACACCAGGCCAAAAGCTCCTCTTCGCCCTCGCCATCAAAGGCCATCAATGGAAGCCCAACAGCTACAGCCACATCACCCTCATCGCCGGCGGTGCAGGCATCACACCAATCTACCAGCTCGCGCAGGGCATCCTCCGCAACCCCGAAGACAAGACCGCCATTACGCTCGTCTTTGGCGTCAACTCGGACCAGGACGTGCTATTAAAGCAGGAGTTCGAGCAATTTGAGAAGGAGTTCCCCGGCAGGTTCAAGGCCGTGTATACGGTTAGCCACCCCGTGGCGAATTCGCCGTACCGGAAGGGATATGTGACGAAGCAGTTGTTGGAGGAGGTCGGGGTTGCGCCGAAGAAGGAGGAGGATACAAAGGTGTTTGTGTGCGGTCCGCCGGCGATGGAGGCGGCTCTTGTGGGGAAGAGGAGTGCGCCGGGGGTGTTGCAGGAGTTGGGGTATCGGAAGGATCAAATTCATCAGTTCTAGAGAGTTAATTTCGGGCTTTACCTAGATGTACGTTACAGAGGATTTGAGGAGAGATAAACCCAGATCAGCTCTTCCTTTCTAAACGTCACGATTTCCACGCGAACTGAGAAAAGAAATACGGAACCAGGCTTCAAAAACAGGACTGGGGTCGAAGAGATCGATGGGACTAACTGCGAGAGATGAAAAGGCTATGTATAGTCCAAACTGAGCTCAACTTTCAACAATTCAAATGACCCGCCTTGCTAGCTCAATCGGTAGAGCGTGAGACTCTTAATCTCAAGGTTGCGGGTTCGACCCCCGCGTGAGGCTCAAATCCTCACCGCGATTGGCAAAGCCATTCTTCGGGTTATTCTTTTTGTGTTTCTTTACCTTGTCCCTTCAAGCGGACTCATCCTTGTACCGCGGCGGCTTGAAACTGACGCTGGTGCCATATCCTTCTTCGCTGCCAGAAGATTTTTCGGGGGAAGAGATTTCACCAATGTGTAGAGAAAGTGGAGAAGTTGTCGGCGTCAGTGATCATTGCGGCATTCATTGCCCGCATCTACAAGTATTTAGGTGAGCGGGTCATACGCTATGAGTTGCTCAGCTTAAATCTATTGATATCGCTCCCTGTCAATCTTGCTAGGCTTTGAATGTGCACTCCATGAAGGAGGATCCTTGTTTACCCGTATGCGTCTTGGATCAGAACTACCGGCCATTCTTCAGTACCCCGTTGCAACATCCATACACAGCCTGCTGAGGATTGCATCACGAGACGCGAAAGAAGATATTGGGAATTCGAGTTTTGTGTATCTCTGCAAATACCATTCATGATTTTCCATGCCAATCATCAATCGTAATCGAAGATTTCTATCGTCATGTTGGAGACATTACTTCTCCAGGATTTCTTCAACGACAAACCCCAACCGCAACCATGATTCGTTGACGTAATGCACGACCCCCACAAAAAAGTCCTCCATCACTCAGCCAACTCCAACCATATCCCTTTCTTTCCACCCACCATTCAACCTCACCATCAAAACTGTAAGCTTCTCACGCCATCTCGCACAGCTCAATTCATACCGCGACGAGCTGACGAAAGACAAGATGGAACAGTTCGGCCTCTCAGCAGCGCACTCGGGCGCGATAAACCACATCCACGCCATTCACTTCGGGCCCGCTGCCGTGGACATCGTCAGGGAGATTCGGTTAGCTGTTACTGTTGTTGTCATCGGATGGGTTGCTGTCACGGGGATCAGGACGGTTTTCAATCGGGATAGGCGATAAGTGGAGGTGTTCTGGTTGATGAAGGGTGAAGTCAAGTGAGACGGGGCCGCAAGGAAGACGCTCGTCGCTGGAAGGTTGAATGTCAGAGGTTGCATCCAATTCAGTATGGTTATATGACCCTCTAGAACAGCTGAAATAGCTGCCATTTGTACAGCAGTAGGGTATTTGGTCATCCCATACCCTTTCTAGGTATCTGTATCAACAGAAAACCCCACGTCATTGCCACTTTCATCGTGAACTTTTCCACGGTCCCAAAACTCCTCACAAAGTCGTACCGGAAACACCAGCCCAGCTCTCAGAACCTCCAAGCCAAACGTTGCTACGTAGATCAGACTACGCCGGCGGAAAATGCAAAAACCTCTGACAACACAACGCCCCCGCCTCCGAAGCACACGCCTGCGCCGCGCCAGCGCCCGTGTCGTCTGCCTTCTTCATCCATCCTTCCGGGCACGCGCCGTCGCAGAAGGCCTGACATATTTCGGCGTCGGGGTCTGCTGCCAACGAGTCTTTGTGTGTCCCACGTTAGTGATGGATCACGAGTTCCATTTGTCACATTTTGAACTCTGTGGTGGGATGTTTAGGAGAAGGGGACGGGAGAGGTTTGCTTACCGAGTGGGATGGCTAATGCCATAGCTAGGAGGCTCCATAGCACGATCGCGGCGGTCTTCATATTTTCTCGTGATTGGAAGTTACTGTGATTTGTTGTGGTCGAATCCTTTCATTATGAGGTTGTGGTTACGTGGTCTTAGAAAGCAAAGAATGGATAACAAGTTTGTCAGTTGAGTCCTGTTGTTGATATAAGGTATTATCTTCACCCGACCCCTAATCACAGTGGGAACATGGGACAATCAAAGACGAAAAGACTCCTGCGGACAGTATTGTAATTATAGAGTAGACAAAGATAAATAAAGCAGTGCCTCCCTGAAACTCGCATGAGCAAACCAACGATCTCGGGCTGGCCCGGGCGGACGGGAGGCCCCTTTTCTTTGTTCACGATCCCAGCCTCATCCTTGTTCCGCCAGAGTCTGACCTCGTCAAGCGCGCTTACTGGCTGAGGTTTACGGCACAGGAAGAACGTCTGAAACTTCAAATACCGCGCGGACGGATTTTGACTCCCGCGGAACTCGAAGAGTCTATTTGGAGCTACTGTTACTTCCCCCCCGGGCACCGATTGACTTCACATTATCATGTTCACTGAGCAATGTTCGAGTGCAGAGGTCTGAATAAACAGGTTGAAATTTGAAAATGGTTGT